TGTCATGATTCCCTTTTATTCCAGAAGTTTGGTCCTTAAGAGGTTAAAGGGGGACGATCACTTGGATTTTTAACCCCTTAAGGACTGGACTGTTTTTGCGATGTTGTACATTTGCGACCAGGCATATTTTTACACTTTTGTGGAGTTTGTGTTTGGCTGTAATTTTCCGCTCTCTCATTTACTGTTCCCATACAAATGATATATTGTTTTTTTCAGGACAAAAAGGGGCTTTCTTTACATACCTTTATTTATATAATCTCTTGTATTTTAATTTTAAAAAAATTAAAACATTTGATGAAAAATTTAAAAAATCCCTGTTTTTTTACTTTTACTTGAAAAATCTTTTACTCATCTACAAAAGCGAATGAAAAAAAACTGCTAAATAGATTCAAAATTTTGTCCTGAGTTTAAAAATACCCCGTGTTTACATGCATTTTTGCTTTTTTTTTGCATGTTATAGGGCTATAGGTACAAGTAGGATATTGCGGTTTCAAAACATACATTGTTAAAATTTATCAATAGTGACATTGTAACACTATTATCTGTCATAAATCTCTGAATAACACCCCACGTGTACATGTTTTTTTTAAAGTAGACAACCCCGGGTATTCAATATGAGGTATGTCCAGTCTTTTTTAGTAGCCACTTAGTCTAAAACACTGGCCAAAGACATATATTATATCGATATAATTGTATATGTATGTGTGTGTATGTATATATATATATATATATATATAAAAAACATAATAATGGCACTCACCCTTGCTTCAAAGAAGTAATAGTCACTGTGCCCCGGTGCAGACCTATGCTGATAAATAGTATAGTTGAAAAAGGATGCACTCAGAGGTCTTTTTAGAAGAAATATAGTGTATTTTAATCCATATAAGGTTTACAAATGACTTGATCGACGTTTCGACCCAATAGGGTCTTCCTCAGGATCAATATGTAAACATAAAACCTACAAATATATTTTTGATTTTACACCAGCAGGGAGATTGCCTGTCAGCACAGACAGTCCCCCTGCAGGCAGACCTACTGTGACCATGTGATCGCTGTGTTAAAGGACCACTATAGTGCCAGGAAAACACTCGTTTTCCTGGCACTATAGTGCCCTGAGGGTGCCCCCACCCTCAGGCACCCCCTGCCGCCCGGCTCTGGAAGAGGGAAAGGGGTAAAAACTTACCTTTTTCCAGCGCTGGGCGGGGAGCTCTCCTCCTCCGATCCTCTTCTCCTCCCATGCGGCTGCACGCGCGGCAAGAGCTGCGCGCGCATTCAGCCGGTCACATAGGAAAGTATTATCAATGCTTTCCTATGGACGCTTGCGTGCTCTCGCTGTGATTTTCACAGTGAGAAGCACGCAAGCGTCTCTAGCGGCAGTCAATGAGACAGCCGCTAGAGGAATTGGGGGAAGGCTTAACCCATTTATAAACATAGCAGTTTCTCTGAAACTGCTATGTTTATAAAAGAATGGATTAAGCCTAGCTGGACCTGGCACCCAGACCACTTCATTAAGCTGAAGTGGTCTGGGTGCCTAGAGTGGTCCTTTAAGCGATCACATGGCCACAGGGGTCCTAATCCAGTGTGGGGAGACTGCAGGCAGTCTCCCCACACCGGGAGCAACGCCGATCGCCGCCGGGAGAACGACGGCGATCAGGTAAGTAACTAGGACCGTTAGGACGGTTCAGAACCGTCAGCAGTCGGCAATGGGAAAATGCCGATGACGGTCCTGAACCGTCCTCGGTCTTTAAGGGGTTAATATCATATATCAGTGGTTCCCAAGCCACTCCTCAAGGCATAAAGTCAGTTCAGGCCACCCCATTTCCCATAAATCCCTGACTCTTGGGGTTAAGATAGCGTTGGTTGGGAATTTCTATCCTAGAACTGAACGCCTCTATCAGTCATTGATTTAAGGTCAATTCCGCTTGTCTATCAGTATAGAAAACAGTGTTTTTCTCCTCCAATAGAATCTGTGCCTTGGCTGTGCCAAGACTGAACTGGATTTCAATATCACTTGATTACACAGCAACCATCACTTCCTGGAAAATTACACCACTGTATGAAACATTACTAATCACCTATAACTTGCATAGGATTCTCCATTTTATTTTTAAAGAACACTCATGGCACCAAGTGTGCTGTAGTGGTGATGGTGTCAGGGGGGCTCTAGTGCCCTACCCAATGGAAGTAGTCAAATCATTTGCCAATGGTTTGGCAGCTTACTTGAGGTCCACCGGGACTGAGAGCGGATCTTACTGGAGATTCCATTCGCTCTCCTGAGCTTCAGTCTCATGTGCAGGGACTGTTCATTGGCCGAGATTGTCAGCTGACCGCTCTAGACCAATGAGTGTGCTGCTGTTGTTATGGTTTTTAAAATATTCCTTTAAATCTAGTTCAGACAAGGCACAGCCAGGGCACACATTGAAAATGAAAAAAAAAAAGCATTGTTTAATTTTTTTCTCTCTTTATAACAATGATAGTAAGATGAAGGAAACAGCACTCACCAGACTCCCACGGTGCACCGGATAAGGGGCAGGCCAGACCAGACATTGAATATGTAAAATAAAGTGATGGCCCAGCCACTCAGCATAACAGCAGCTTTATTGGGGCAAACACACAGCAACATTTCGACCCCACTGGGTCTTTGTCAAGCGTATAACAATGACATGGAGCAAAGATGGCGGCACCCAGCTGCAGGATAAAGAGATGTGGGTTTCTACATTCAATTTTTCACAACTCTCCAATATATATTATTAAAATACTATTAGTAGTGATTAAGTAAACATAATCCTAACATTCCTGGCTGACAGATTCCGGCTATCCTACTCTTAGGGTAACAATTAATAAAGTGCAGAGAAGCAGAGTTTGAGCTGTCTATTCAACAACTAAATTCATAGACAATATCTGAAGTTTCTGGGGATTTGCAGTGAGCTCTGGCAGCCATTCCTAGCCTTGATTTCAGCAGACGTGCATGGCACATCCCACACATTAGTTTGCATTAGACATTTATAATCTGCCAACGTCAATTATCAGCAGAAATTCCATTTATCAGAAAACATGAATGAAGCTCCTGCTCGGTTAATGAATGGATGAGGGAAGTAGGTTACATTCAAACAGGTGGGAGATGTCTGGAACTAACATTAACTAAATCGTAAACATGCAAAGTGCCAACGCTTTCAAGATGTCTACCCTGAAACAGCTGATTTGTTTGAGCATGGAGCAATTTCAGTTCTACACCTTGCACACCGCAGGCCAAGCACTGCCACTTTCAATATCCTACTCTGCAACGATGGAGGATTGCTTGGAAATTAGGGCTAGGGCTTGTGGGAGTCAGGGTTAAAGTTCTGGAGTAGGTTTCCAGATATGGAGTAACTGTACCCACTACAATACGAGATGCATGGATTCCCGCCGAGCTTGCCTGCTGATTATTGGTATCTTAATGGCACAGCTAAACAATCCATACATTGTTTGGAAGCACACCAGTCCCCTCTCTTTCTCTGCACCCTTTAAGAGATCTGTGAAGCCAATAACCATACATTGATTTACTGGTGTCCTTCATGGGTCGTGGAACGAGTAGGGAATTCATGAGTAAGGCAGGCAATTTGTCGTGGGTTGCAAATCAGGACAATTGTCCAGTTATTGTCTAACGCCATTAGACCAGGTTTCATCAGTAATCTCATCTTCTGGTGTTTGTCAGCCTCTGCCTTTTACCATACACTAAAAGCTTCCGGTACAGACGCATTATTAACAAATTAAACCCAAAGCATGCAACAATAGTAATATTTCCTGAAAAGTTGTGCAAGAATGGTTAATGGTTCCTAGGGAAATACTGCTCGGCACAGAGGGGACTGGTTGCCCATTAAGAAGTCTATTGTCTCTTGGAGTTGAGCCAAATACTCTTACATAGGATGTTCTCTTAATATATCCGTCCATCTCATCTTCCCTAAGGAACGCACTGGATTGTGTTAATGGCTCCTGGCCAGCGAATGTCCACTTAGCAGGGATTGCTATTCACAGCTCACACACCGTGTCCTCTGATTGAAACTCCTATTGAAGGATGTGACATTGAAAGATTCAGGAACCCCCACTGAAGGCACGCAGGTGGTGGAGACACTCCTAATGCATAGAAGAACTGGATGGCAATGGGTAACTGACTTCTGATCATGAATATCAACAGAAATAAGTTGGCAATGCTGGGATATAAACTATATATATATGTAATGGAGCATCATACAGCATAGATAGAGAGCAGGTGGCGGGGGTCTCCCACATCCAGGCAGATCTTCAGTACAGATAGAAATAGGGTGTCGGGGTGGGGGTCTTCCCACATACAGGAATGTATTCAACATAGATAGAAAGCGGGTGTCAGGGTGGGGGTTTCCCCACTTACAGCATAGATAGAAAGGGGGATGTCAGGGCAGGGGTCTCCCCACTTACAGAATAGATAGAAAGGGGGTGTCAGCAAGGGGTTCTCCCCACTTACAGCATAGATAGAAAGGGGGTGTCAGGATGGGGTCTCCCCACTTGCAGCATAGATAGAAAGGGGGTGTCAGGGTGTGGGTCTTCCCACTTACAGCTTAGATCTAAACAAAAATGATAATGAATGTTTATAGCGTTGGTGTTCCTTTAAGTGCATTCTTATTATAAAACGCATAAAGGCTTTTTCTAATGAACTAATTCCAACAAGAAAAATGCCAAATGCTGCTGTTTTAGTAAATGCTTTGTTAATTTGATTTAAAGTTCACTTACTTGGATCATTTCCAGCTAATCCCATGAATTCCCTATCACAGGCACAGAACATTAACCTTTTCACTGCCAAAAGGACAAGGACAGCCGTGCCTGCGCAGTGCATAAAATTAAGGAGAGGGCTGCCGGAGGCAGAAGGGGAGCATCCACATGAGCTACTCACCGGCCTGTTTTCGCAATTGTTGGGGGAGACAGCGCCAGACGACTTTGGCATTGAGCGGGCGCATAGGGCACTGCGAGCGCCCCGACGTGATGGGATGCCGAGGGACATGATCTGCGCCCTGACGTCCTTCCCGCTCAAAGAAGGATTGATGAAGGCCGCGCGCTCCCGTCCTGATCTTCGATACATGGATGCCCCGGTGGCCTTGTATCACGACCTGTCGCAGACAACTCTAGACACCCGGCGGGCCCTGCGGCCGCTTACCCGCCTGCTTCAGGAAAGAAGAATCCCGTATAAGTGGGGTTTCCCCTTTAGCCTGCAGGCCCGGGTGGGCAATATGTGGCATGTGCTTCAGTGGCCCAACGATGTCCCCCGGTTCCTCAGAAATGCGGGCCTTCCCCATATCTCTGTCCCGAATTGGATCTTGGGGGAGCCCCCGGCTAGGGCATCGGGCCCCGACGAGGCTGCACACAACCTTCATCCGGATCCTGAGATGCCACGACGCAGAGGAGGGCCGAATGGCCCAGAAGAGTAGCGGTTACCTGTTGTGCCTGGTGGCGGTCCCCCGGGGGCTGTCGGATCAGGCAGGGCTCCCATCGGACCTCAGCCCCTAAGTAGCGGGACTCTTGGCTGCCTGGTTGTGAAGTTGGGGCACCCCTGCCCAGGGTATGTACTGTGGTGGACTACGCTCTATAGAAGTTAGCTGCCTGGAGGAGGGCTCGTAGTTAGGTTGGGTGGCAAGGGTTAAAGGGGTTTGGCGGCAGTAGCGAGCAGATTCCGGGTGGGTCCCACCGCAGGTCGGGAGGGCAGGGGGGTATGTGCTGGACTGGGCTGTGGAGCTGTTGGGGACTGGCTGAAGACGATGGCACTGGGGGACAAATTTGTACTCTTTCCCCCCCCCTTTTTTTTTTCTCTTCTTCTCTTCTTCTTTCTCTCTCCCCTTTTCTCCTCTCATTCTGCCTGCCCACAGTGGGGAGGTCTGGGGTGGGTGCTTGGTTATGCGGTGCTTAGTGGCGCTGCCGGGTAGGGGGTCTGGGGAGGCAGTGGCGCCACCTTACGGCGGTTCTCACCATTGTTCCTTACACGCTGGGGTCATCCAAGGTGGCGGCCCACGCAGAGGTAGGGGTATTTGGCGATTGGGGTGAAGGGGGGTATTGGAGCGGGTGAGGGGCAGGCCGCTGCTAGGTGGGGGTGGCTGCTGGGGTTTAGGATGGGGAGGAGGGGGCTCGAGGGAGGGGGCTGTCTCCCGTAGTCCTCGCGGGAGGGGGGAGAGAGAGATCCGCACCTGGGCAGACCCTGGATTAGGCAGCGGGAGGTGGGGGGAGGCTCAGTCACACACGAAGGGGGGCCCCACCTCGCCCGCAGGAAAGCCCCAGGCATGGAATGGGCATCCTACCCTTATGTGGTCATCTAGGCACCGGTTGGGCAGATGGGCGATCCCTGGGGACCCGGGGTTGTGAGGAATTGGGTTTTTTTTGTTTTTTTTTGGCAGGGGGCTAAAGAGAGGAGTACTCTTAGCTTACTCTATTACTGTCAAAGGGGGGAGGGGCGGGGACCCAAGACAGGTTGGTTGCACACAGGGGGCGCAGGCTGGGGGTGGGTTGAGGGCTCACGCAAGCCGCTCCCCCACGAGGGCTGTTAGATGGGGCAGTTCACATGGTTTTCCTCAGTTATTTGTGTTTTAGCCTCTGGATTCTTGCACGTTAGACACACAGGGTGACGGCCGACGGACACTGCGGCAGTTACGACCACTACATTCCACGGAAACGCCAAGACAGTGAGGGGCCCTTTTGATCCCTACTGTGACAGACCCGCACTGTAAATAGAGCCGGGGTTCCTCACACGGGCATCTTAACCCGGGGGAGGACTCTACTTTCCCGGCTCCGGGTCGACGTTGCCCACGGAGGGCGGTGAGACTAAGACCTACTGTTATCAGTACTGGACCTTCCACACCTTTCCTTACCTACGCTCCCAGCTGTGCCGGGGTGGGGGCGCTCCGCCGTTGTAGCGATGGCACCCGGTCGGGGATTCGTTCCGGCGCGGCTGACCTACTGGTCTAATAACGTTCATGGGCTTAACATTCCGGAAAAAAGATCACAATTGCAGCGGCAGCTGTGGGCCGCAAGAGCATCCGTGGCGTTCCTGCAAGAGACGCATTTTAAGGGGGGAGATGCACCTAAACTGGAGAATCGGCGATTCCCGTTGGGGTTTTATGCCAATCACCAAACAGCCAAAAAAGCGGGGGTGGCTATTCTCTTCGCCCAGACGACGCCTTTCCTTCACTTAGCGTCCCAATTGGACCCGATGGGGAGATACCTATTCTTAAAGGGCTCCATAGCGGATCATGTCTATACCTTCGCATGCATATACTGCCCAAATAGGGGCCAGCACACCTTCATATCCCGAACACTTGCTAAACTAGAGAGATTCCGGGAGGGACTCCTGGTCCTTGGCGGCGACCTTAATATCCCGTTGGAACCCCGGATGGATACTTCCAGGGGCATGACCGCGGTCCCGGCGGCGAGTATCCGGCTGTCCCAGCGTGCCTTGCACAAAGCCGGCTTGGTAGACTGTTGGAGGGCCTGCAACCCGGAGGGGAGAGACTACACCCACTACTCTGCGGTGCATGCACAATACAGCCGTATCGACTACATCTTCCTTGCACAAGAATTTCTGAACCTCCTGCAGGGAGCGGAAATAGGCATTATAGGTCACTCGGATCATGCACCGGTCCTGGTTCATACGAATTCCCCGCTCTTTAAGCCCAGCGAACGACAATGGAAGCTCAACGAAACTATGCTGGATGATTTGGCTCTCACACAGTCCGCGACTCGTGCCCTGTCAGAGTACTTCACCACCAACGATACCGCGGATACGACTCCTCTAAGGCTCTGGGAGGCGCACAAATGCGTCATCCGGGGCTTCTTCATCTCCGAGAGCACCAAACGCAAAAAAGACAGACGAGCTCGCATTTCCAGCTTGACCAAGCGTATCGCTGACTTAGAAGGAACTCATAAGCAAACCCTAGCTGAGGACACCTACCTCCAACTGGTGGAGGCACGAAGGGACTTGCAAAAGATTCTGTCGCAGGGGTTCTTGCTCACCGCTAGGAAGGCCTCTAGGTTCTTCTACGAACACTCCAATAAGTGCGGGAGATTGTTAGCCCGGATGCTCCAGGAAAAACGCAGGATGCTCCATGTCCATAAAATACGCACGGGGAATGGGGATACTACACGCCTCCCAAATGGCATACTGTCGGCATTCCAGGAGTATTATGCGGCTCTTTACGACCAAACGAAACACCGCACAGCATCAGAGGTACGGCAACATAAGGAGAGGATAGTAGAGTACTTAAAAACCCATGTTACACGCAGACTCACTCCGGAGCAGGAGGCGGAACTGGAGGTCCCTTTGTCGGTGGAGGAACTAGTGGCGGCGCTGAAGGCCACCAAGACTCACAGGGCACCAGGGCCGGACGGCTTACCAGCTTCTTATTTACGGACGTTCAGGGATATCCTCCTACCCCGACTGGTCGCAGGGCTCAACTCCCTACGGGAGGAAGGCCGCTTTCATGAAGACACATTGAGGGCAACGGTTACGATCCTCCCGAAGGAGGGCAAAGACCCCATGGACTGTGCCAGCTACAGACCAATTTCCTTGCTCAATGCGGACCTTAAAGTGTTTGCCAAAGCGCTGGCACTACGGATGGCTAGGATCCTGCCGGAGATTGTGCACCCGGACCAGGTCGGTTTCATACCCGGCCGTGAGGCCCGGGACAATACCATCAGGGCCCTTAACGCAGTCCACGTGGCTCGATCCGGTGGGAGGGAGATGGTACTCCTTTCTACTGACGCCGAGAAGGCGTTTGATAGAGTTGACTGGACCTATCTGCAGGAGACCCTGGGAAGCATGGGGTTTGGGCCGGGTCTCAGGGCATGGGTAGCGGCGCTGTACACGGAACCAACGGCGCGTATACGGGTGAACGGAGCATTAACGGGTGTGTTCCGGATTTCCAATGGCACGCGTCAGGGCTGCCCGCTGTCCCCCCTCCTGTTTGCCCTCACTCTGGAGCCCTTCCTGGAGGCGGTGAGGCGGGATGGGGGCATAGCGGGGTGCCTGGTAGGGGGGGAGGAGCATCGAGTGGCGGCATACGCTGACGACATGCTCTTCCTCCTCGAACAGCCCAGAATCTCGCTACCGAACTTAATAGAAGCTTTCCGACTCTATGGCTTAGTTTCTAACTTGAAGCTTAACCTGGCCAAGTCGGAACTGATGCCACTCACACGAGACCCGGCACTTCGTAGACACATCCAGGCGCATTTCCCCTTCCGGATTTGCTTGCACAAATTACGGTACCTGGGCATCTGGATACCGTGTGATCTAACTCAAGCATATTCCATGAATTTTGTCCCCCTACTCACAACTCTACAACAAGACATGAAGCGCTGGGCCCCCCAATATATATCCTGGTTCGGACGCATAAATGCCATTAAAATGAATGTCATGCCCCGTATATTGTACTTGTTCCAGACGATCCCAGTCATTATACCAAGGAACTTCTTCCAAACGTTGTCATCCGCCTTTAAGCAGTTCGTATGGAACCGGAGAGCTGCCCGCATCCGGCAGTCGATCCTGGAACGTCCTAGAAGCGAGGGAGGCATGGGCCTTGCCTTCGGTCCTTACTTACTACCGGGCTACACACTTGGCTCGTCTAGTGGACTGGCACGCTGCTCCGAGCGGGAAGCGGTGGGTAGACATGGAAAAGACACAGGCAGGAGGAGGCAAAATTCCGTCCCAGTTGTGGCTGGGAGATGCCACGTTCCAGAAACTACGAACGGGCAACCCCCTGGTGGATGCGACTTTAAAGGTCTGGTGTGGTATCCGGTTCTCTCTACAACTCACGTCATCGCCAAATCCTCTTACGCCCGTGACGCATAACCCAAGACTGGCAGGTGGACTCTCCCCAGGTGATCTGAGGAACTTTGGGGCCACGGACTGGATGTACCTGCACCAATGGTGTAATGGTCCGAACCTCAAACCGGTGGCTACGCTGCTCCAAGACCGCAGACCCAGCGGCTTGGACAATTTCCGGTACTACCAGCTTAAAACCTATGTAACCTCACTAACTGGGAAGGCACACCTCCACCGCCCACTGTCCCACTTCGAACAAATCTGTGCCGCCAGACAGCATCTCTCCCATGGCATAACGCAACTCTACTCCATGTTGCAGAGTTGTGAAGACCAGGCCCCACTAGGGTTCACGGTACGGTGGGAGAGGGAAGCAGGGGTCGAGCTATCTACCTCTGAATGGCAAAAGATCTTTCAATTGACGCACAGGGGGACCATTTGCTCCAAGTTCCAGGAGTGCAACTACAAGATACTGGTACGTTGGTATAGAACTCCGGACATTCTTCGTCATGTCCACGAATCTCTATCAGGAGAGTGCTGGAGGTGTGGAGATGCGGATGGCTCTGGGATCCACATGTGGTGGTCGTGTCCCCGCATCGAACCTTTCTGGAGAACGATACATAAAGG